ATTAGATCTCACGGGACTCTAGCGCGATGAGGATCTATCTTTAATTATATTTCAACTCGGTGACTACATTATTAAATTCTTATATTTTAATATTAGCCTGTTTTTAATTATTACATTTTACATTTTATATATTCTAGTTCTCAATTCTTAATTTAGTTAAATTTATATACCTTCACATGGCTTTATAATTTCCTTTTCTCTTTTTATTTCGTGGCGTACCTGTAAACTAGCTTTTAGCTAAGCGTTCTGACCACGTTAAATAAATTGATTGATTGATTGATTGATTGATTGCTTGCCGATGATATAGGAAAAGACAATTCCATTGAAGACACGGAAGATGCTTTTAGTAAAAGCAGCCTGTCAGAATTGCCAGATATCAAGGAAACTCCTAAGGACATCAAAGAAACAGAAGTTAGCGGAAGAGAAACTGAAGGGGTTAAAACTGGTCAGCCTTCCCTCAGCGCAAGACTGAGAAAGAACCTTCAAGAGCAACTCAACGCTGTGAAAGAATTTACTTTTCTCGTAGATGACAACAACATACTCAGGGAGGCATTAAGTGGTGTAAAGCCGGTCTACGACATGCTGACAAAAAATTGTCCCAACAATCATGGCCTTCTTCTAAGAAATAGTCCAGTGAAGAAGAAATTAAAACTAAATCAAGTTGAATACCACCAGGTGTTCCACAAAAAGCTACCTAAAGGGAGGAAATGGAAGAAGAGGACTTCTACACCTATCGTGTTGCCAGACAAACTTGAAGGACGCCGAAAGATGATGAGCTAGGTAACTTAACGATAAAAATATAGATACCTAAACTTAAATACAACCTATTTAGTCATCTTAAAAAGAAATAGGAAGCATTTACACGGGAAAACTTAGGGAACTAGTTTTCCTCTATGTGATCAGATCATTCTTTCCATCGCATAAAAATAGAAAAAACGTTCCTACCGCTTAAACTGTTCATCATTTTTTTCAGCAAACTGAGGAAGTAATTGTGGACTTGACTTTGGGTAGCGAGGACAGTGACCGGGGAAAAAAAACAGGAAATACAATTTCTGAAGAATCCGAGCAAGCAACAAACAGTACACGGTTAGATTTATCATTTATCAGGCTAAGCTCTGTGATTTTAAGGAGGTAATGCTTCAGCAAGTTTCCCCGTTGTTTCTATTTTTCGTTTCTGTCTCTTTCAGAGACAATACCTTAGATGGCCCACAGCGAATTTGGAAATGTGACCCTGTCACGCGTCTTCATGGCGAAGAATTCGCGACAGGCGTGCACAGTGGCGATCGACACTTGGCGTATTATTTTGTAGTGAGCTTAAGTGAGAATTAGAAGAAAAGTGAAAATATTTCGCATGTAACCTTATGTTCACCTCGGTTTCCATCTCTCTCGGTTACTAACGGTGCTACTTGAACTGAATATAAAAAAATACCCACCTTAGCAGTTGTTTCCACTGCGGTTTACGTAAAACAGTTAGTTGTATCCTCTGCGGTTTTTTCAACTGAGAAAACTTGACCATTTTTCACTTGCCTTGTGAAGGGAATAAGTTGGTAATGGAAGCAAAACAGTAAAAGAACGTTCCTTGTTTGAAGAGCAAGATTACTGTTTATCTAAACGCCATCTTTTCTTTAAATAGGCTTAGTAGCCTTTCCTTTTAGCGCAGTCTCTCGCTAAAAAAAGCGGGAGAATTCTAATTATTACTACAGTTCTTATAATGCTGGCGGGTTTTGTGTTGTTTTGGGGTCAATTTAGCTTAAAATGTCTGACAAAGCTCAAAGTGGAGAGAAAATCGAGTTTTTTATAAATGGCGATGCACTGAAAAATAAATTGCAGTACGTTTGGGATCAAGCAGTAGCTGGTTGAAAACTTATCGAGGTCTCGATAAAAATTCTTGCTGAGTGTGCACCTCGACCTCTTCACCACGGCAGCCATTTCCATGAGCCCAGATATGAAATTCCTTCCCCTCCATGGCAACCGTGAACCAATAAGAAATCACTGATGAGGAATCATTGATTGACGGATTTCGAACCCTTGAAAATAGGACCGCCCACCTATGTCGCGAATTCTTCGCCATGATCAATGCAAGAGAGTTAACCTAGGGATACACCACGTCATGCTTGAGATCGGAGCTTCAACACTAACGGTCGGTGACCTATGGTCACTTCTTCCTCCGCATGTGGCCGTGCAACACTCCTTGGAGACGAGCTCTACTAAGGACTTTGTCGGGGGTTGGCTCGTAGACAAGGTAGCATGTTCATAAAATAATCTGCGACATAAAACATTATTTTATAGATCCAGTTAGGCTAATGGATAGTGCGCTGGACTGTTGTGCGGGAGGTCGAGGGTTCGAGCCCTGGCCGGACCAACACTCAAGGTCTTAAAATAATTGAGAAGAATTTGCTACCTTTCTATAACATCAAGAAATGGTTAGATATTCTAGTNAACAAATGGTAAACACCACAGCGTACACTATTGAGTTATGGATGCACGCGGGAGGTTGCTAAGCACGAAAGAAGCGTAAGAGTCGCTCGAGGCGATAGCCGAGAGCGACTCTAGCTTCTTGAGTGCTTAGCAAACCTCCCAAGTGCATCCATAACTCAATAGTGTACGCTGTGGTGTTTACCATTTGTTTTATAACATAACATTGATACATTGTAGCTAAAGAGTTCCCGTTTATTTAACAAATCTTACGCGACCAGAAAAAACAAGCGCGCGCGGAAAAATAGTCTTTGCATTTGCTCACGTCAGCAGCGTACACCCATGGGCAAATGGGGAACGCTAAATTGACCAATCAGAGCGCGCGCTTTACTTTGGTTATGTTATAAAATGGCCTGTTTTGTGCAGACAGCACTTTGGCTGAAATTGTTAAACCTGCACGTAGTACGCGTTTGGGTTGGTCAGGAGAAAGCTTCTCAAATGTTACCAGGATACTTGTTCCGATCGTAAAATCTGGAAACCACGAGATTGTGTTGGTAGGCTTTTTTTATAACTTACTGAAGTGGTTTGCTGAAAGAGATAACCAATTCTTAGCAAATGTGGTTAAGGAAAGGTATATTTGAGATGAAACGAAGAACCCTAACCTCTTTTCTTGAAGGTCTTGGACAAATCGACAGCGACCAGGTACTACTTTGACCCTTTGGCAGAAACTGTTCAATGAGAAATAAGTCCCTTCACAAATCCTCCTCCCGCATCACTGTTAGATAAGATAAGTTGAGACTAAATAATGTAGACATGACTAATTAACTTGTCCTGTTCTGCCAACAGAAGAGCGAACATGATAGGCATGCTGAATTTATACTTTCAGTGCTTATAACAAGTGTAAAGTTATAAAGTCGCAAGTGAAAAAAACCCGTCCATTAATTCAGAACGGCAGTTACTTTGAGAAAAGTAAACCTTTACTTGCTTGTCATTATAATTTGTAGTGAAGTCGCTGACACCCAAGCGGGCTGGCTTTCTCTATAATGGCCTCGCATCGAGCCGGTGCACTTAAAACAGAAGGATGGGTACAACGGCGGAATTCTCATCTGTCTCGTAAGTAGCTAACTCACTAGGCACCCACACGCGATATTTAGTCTCAATTTTAAGTTTAATACAGAAGTTACTATGGCATGAGGTGTTAAGGTACGAAACCTTTGCCCTCACAAAATAACGAACATTATCGTTCGACACGTTAGCCGCTGGAAAAAGTGCATTCGATTATTTATATCTTAACAACCATTAGTTTCTGCCTCAAGGAATCTAAGGAATATTGCGTATTCTTCACTCATTTCTCCCAATGACTGATTGTCATCTTCGATCGTTTCTTTCAGTTTGCGAGATGTTTGTGCGAAGAATCCTGTGTAGATGCAGCTTTGGACATAACAACCTAACGTGCATGAATAACGTCTATGGTGTTTGGCTGTTGTTACGATAACATCGACGAGTAAGTAACCTAGGTCACAGCTTGTTTCCAAACTGTATATCCTTTGATCTTGCTAAGCATCAGGTTTGATCCTGATATAGAGTTAAGAGTCAAAGTAAGAGACCTGAGCCAATAAAGAAGAAGCGATATTTAAATGAATGATAATGAAATGTATGTTCCGTCCGCTGTAGGAGAAATATCAACGTCTGCAAAGTGTGCCATGACGACGATGGAGAAGATTGACTGGGATGCGACAGTTGTGGCCAGTACTTGCACGGAAGTTGCATCAAAGTGGATTTCTCAGAGACTCTCTAGCTTCTTTGTCTGCCCTTGTTAATTTCACGACATCGTTGCGGATTAGTGACGTAAATTGATATTGGAGAAGATTCTTCCTAGTGTGGGACTGACTTAAGACTAGGCTAGGCTGTGCACAATTCCTGAAATTTTTGTTCGTTATTTTACGAATCATTTGATGTTTCAGTGTTGGCAAGTTTTACGTATTACGTAAGTAAAAGAATTGACTTAACGCTGCAAGGAGAATCTCTCTCAAACTTTACTTTTTAAGAGACGAAGTTACCGTCTAAAATTCAAACGTTACTGTTAGGTTTATTGGCGCATTGATAACCTTGTAAATTAGCTCAAACATACTGAACACATTTGTATTAGTTTCTTACACATTTCGGGTTTGAACTTTTCGTGAGGAATAAGGGCTACAGCTTACAAGACATATTTTTAATTTGACAGCTGTACTATAAATTTGTGTGTTCGACCCTCGACGAACGCCTTGGATATAGCGTCACCCATTATGGGTTGGATAATAATAGTGATTCACTGTCTGTTGCCTTTCCTTCGAAAGTTCAAAAGTTTTGACGGGCCTGCGCGACTTCTGTCATTCCTCCGTGACGGATTCGTTCCTAGGAGGCAACCGACGTGATTCAGAAAGAATCGAAACTGCAGTCTTGCCTGAGAATCTCGACACAAAGCCGATGGCGGAATGAATGATATCAAAGTCAGAAGTTACATTCCTAAACGCGAGTTGTTTGATAGCGAATTGACCCTTGACATGCAAATGCATTACAAAGAGACAAAGACCTTCTTAACGAACTTTTTTCCACCAAGTTTATTATGAATACGGGATTCGTTAAAGGAAAAGCCCAACACCTCTCATGATCGAATGTCTCGCTCCACGTTCAATGAAAACGTACCGAGTTTCAAAATACGCTTCAAGAATAAGTGATACCGATATGAAGTTTTTGAGAAACGTACATCTGGACTTATTTCCTGCGGGAGAGAATGCATACTTAAAAACCAAAGCACTTAGAGTGCGAACAAAAGAAAATATTGCCTTTTGTAACACAATCTCATCCGGCTTAACCAGACCTCGAGAACATACAGATGGGGAATAGACGTCTTATAAGTAACCGTTATTATCACATCGCAAAGGAGAGTTGTTAAGAGATATCCTAATTAATAAGAGCGTAACTTAGAGAGCAGAAGATTTAAAAGCGCTAGCGAATGGCAGGAGTCACACAAGCCTATCAACACCTTTTAACGGTCGATTGCCGTTTGCTCACCGGCGAGTCGCCTCGCGCAAGGTAGAGTTATTCATTGATCAAGTGACTCCTTTCGTTGCCCTAATTCAACTGTCCTTCAGTCAGTGATCAAGATAGTAGATTTACCATACAATACTCACGATTAGTTGATTTTCCTTTACTAAGGAAAGTAGATTGAGTACATGCGGGAAATGTCCTTGAAGTAATAACGCTATGTAACGCAAGATACAAACACAACAACAGGACTTTTCGCTGCCATCACCGGCCGGTCTCAATCACTCTCACTTAAAATGCATAAAACATTTGTACCGTTGGAGAGCGTTTGAGAGCATTTGATCAGAGCTTTCAAAGAAGGATCAAAGTGGCCACCCAGATCTTTGAAAGGTTTCTAACTACGACATACAACAACCGTTTGACGTTCTCGAAAACCGGCCTCAAATTACATACTAAAAAAACAGTACATGCGCTCACGATTGAAAACGATAGAATACACAGTGTCCCATTGATACACGAGTCCTTTCTAATGAAGAGGTTAAAAGGAGACTTCTTCGATTGGGACTAAAGTTTATGTCCCTTGAATGAAAGTGCTCCAGAGGAGAGATTCAGATGTGCCGCAAAACTGCCAAAAGGAATTTAGTTCTCTTCATCGAGTTTAACAAGAAGTCCGTAAAGAATAATCGAGCCACGTTCCTTAGTAGACCATTCAATTTCTTGGTTACTAAACTTCGGGTCGATTTCAGCCGTAGCACCGATTGTCTGAGGTCCAACTTGGTAGCTGTCTGGGTTGATGCAGAGTTGAAGAACTGCCTTGGTGCTGTAAGTTTTGTTGGTTGATGGGTGGGTAAAACTAAAATTTATGAAGAGGTACAATAGGAAATTATTCATAGAAGAAGATACTCAATCTCATTCGCATTTTCCCCCTCCAGCAAACCTTTGCCCGTTTGAATATGTCACGAACATTAAGAAAAATTTTCGACAACGGTTAGAGTTTAGAAACTTACAATACATTCTCACCATTACTATTCTTGATAAAACGTGAGCAAAACTTGAGAAAAGTTATGATTGTGAGTTAAACCCTAGACCCGTTTGAGAATAAAAGCTAACAACAGCCCCCTCTCCGATAAGATGTCAGCATCTTCTCCAAGGTCCTTAGGGACACCGTCTGATGATTGCGAAAGCATGAAACTACGAGTCACGGAAACTTTGTTTCGTTGTTGATTTTTCTATTTCTAGGGACACTATTATGTACTGCTGTAAGGTCTACTCAGGAAAGAGAGGCCATCTGCCAGTCCAGGATCCGCGCTATGCACCCGTGTGAAGCGAATAACAGATTTATCCGTTTTCCTGTGATAAAGTAACGTGACTATTAAATTTGGAACGGTTACCAATCCAAAGTATAAGGTAATATGTGTAAGCACGTAGATATGAACATCATGCTCACCTTTTAGGTTTTGCATAGCAGTTGTGTCCCGAATACCGCACACTCGGTGATACAAAGATCTGTTTTGTGTCAAACCCTGTCGGTTTTCTGTTGTCATTAAAATGTCCATCCACCTCACTTAATTTCCTTCCTCCGAGTGCAACGTCGCCTACATAAGTAACAAAAAGGAAACCATTTTCGGAACCAATTTAATCGAGACAAGTAATAAGCAATGGCAGAAAGGTGAAGTCAAAATTTGAAATCAAAGAGTCTCATACTTAACACTTGCACATTTAATTAAATAACTTTTACCCAAGTAAATTCGTTCTCTTGCACTCAACAGCATTGGTTACAGAGGGTGTCTTGTCGGATTTAATGGAGTTGTAAGGACAGTAATGCTGTACACAGCTTAAAATATGTTCACCACCAAATAGAAAAAAAGTTGGAAAATTAAGAATTAATTAAACTGAGAAAAAACATCACAATTGAAGTAAACAGTTGAGCCTATCGCCTTTGATAAAAACAAATGACATCGGTTGTCGTCCTGAGAGGAGGTCCCCAACTGATTGTCATTATGGCCCTTTACACTTAAGTAACATTTACATGCCTGGGATAAGAAGATCACCGCATTCCAGGATCGCGCTTACACTTTCGACTCTTGTGCCATGAAATGCTACGTGCCACTTGTTAAACACGTCCAAGGCCTTAGCTCGAGGATGGACCCTGGAAAATAATTACATAATCTTTATTACTCCCGTAACATCTCAATCACTTCGAAACAATATGACATCTAAAATTTCCAACACAGCCCCAAGAGTGTGAGAAATGGAGACCAAGAAGGTTTTCGATTTCGACGCCAAATAAACTAAAAACTTAAAAGCATTACCATCACCTCTCCTTATCTTACTGTTCAACAATAGTTACTTAAGCAAAAGACCCTTCGGAGTCAAAACTGGAGAAGCTAGCCAAACTCAACTGAGAATAGTTCCGTACAAAATTTGAAAGGAACTTTGGATTATGTCTCTTAAAATTGTTCAAGTAACCTATGGAAGTGACTGAGTTATTCAAAGCAGTTTTATTGCTGCTCTACTCTTACGAGTGATTGAGAATAAAAACAGAACAATTATAACTATGATATAACGAAAAGCATCAAAATACAAAAAACAATAAAAATGTCAACGAAAGGAGTAAAAATTCAGCCCTAAAATAACTGTGCGTTTGAAACTGACCAATTTTCACCATATAACTACAAATATAACTATAGACTATGAGTCAGCACGCACGGTCAACTTACATGAGTCCAAACCGACACCATCCTATTGGTATCCCGTAGTCCTTTGCTGGCTGCCCTCGAGTATAGTAGAGTTTGTCGCCTCGGGCAGCGTGACACTCTGTACAGAAGCATCTGTCAAACTTTGGATCAAAAAAGACGCCTGAAAGAAAATCATACGGGTACAAGTGGATAAAAGTCATACGCACCTGTAAAAATTACATAAATCATAGAACGTTATCTTAAAACAGCGAAGCAACCTTTCAAGATATCCATCAGTTCTAGAATTAAGTTTGATTACAGAGGCCCTTTACCTGAAAGCTTGAGTGATGACTTGAAGGTGTGGCATTTCTCTTGATAGTCACAGTGTATTCTTGGTTGTTTGTTTGCTGAACCTGTGAGACCAGAGAGCAAGTCAAGTCAGGAAATGTTAACTTTGCCAATATTCATACCTCTAGGCCAGCTTACGTATATATCTGCTTTTTCAAGTCATATCAATCCATCAACCTCGATATCTACCGAAGACAAGAATCTGCTAAATTCTTGCTCAGGTTTGCCATCACTGCCAATTTATTATCCTCACTTTACATGGTCAACGGTTTCCCCAATAAATTGTGCTTGCTCTTTTGGATCTTATCGAGGTTATCGAGGCAGGAGAAACGGGAAGAAAGTTAAGTCAAGAGAATCAAGAAAGTCATTTAATATACAATCTATTATAACACCTTTTCGACAAAATCGCCGAAAATTTTCATCCACTGCATTAATGCGAACTGTCAACAACATTATTTCCATCCCGCTGAAATCAGCACGTTCAAATTGTGGCCTAAAACTTCCGTTTTCCCTATGGAATGCACGTTCGCTAAAGAATAAAATCTTCTCGTTATGCGATCTAGTAATATCTGAACATATTGACATCTGCGCTGTCACAGAAATATGGCTCACAGGAAAGGATTGTTTTGCCAAAACAGACCTGATTAACACCTTACAAAATTATAATGTTTACAGTCTTCCAAGAGCGAGCAGAGGTGGCGGAGTTGCGGTTATTGCACGCAAAGGACTTCAAGTCAAGAGAAATATTTCGTCCGTATTATTGTCCTTCGAAACCCTTGATTTGACCATTACATCAAGAAATAAACAGTTTCGTCTGCTGACAATTTATCGACCAAGAGCAACAAAGAAAAACTTACTACATAGCAATTCTTTTCTGAGTTCTCGAAATTTCTTGATGAACTTATTGCTACGCCCAAAAAGCTCATTCTGGCCGGCGATTTCAACTTTCATGTAGATAATCTCACAAACACCGAGGCAAGGAACTTCCTGGATTTGCTCGATTCGGCTGGTCTTCAGCAACATGTTGAAGGTCCAACTTACCGTAATGGACACACTCTTGATCTTATCATCACTCGCTGCGCTGATAACCTTTTTTCAGAGTTGAAAATTCTTCCTGAACTGCCCTCTGATCACAAACGCGTGCTTTGTAACGTTGATTTTCCTCGCCTTGCTCCAACCCGCAAGAGTGTAACATACCTTAAATTTCGGAATGTTGATATCAAAAAGTTTAGTGAGGACATCGCCACCTCGTCACTCAATAACCCTGCGGGAAGTGATCTTGACATCATGATTGATCAGTACAATAAGATGCTGTGCTCTCTTCTCAACAAACACGCTCCGTTACAGTCAAGAGAAATAACTTTGAGGCCATATGCTCCTTGGTTCAGTGACAAGCTAAGAGAACTCAAACGGGAGAAAAGGCGACACGAGAGAAAATATGTTAAAACCAACCTGATCATTTCACAAACAAATGTATCAAACAATATGCACAGAATACACCAAACACGCTGAAGCTGCTAAAACTGAACATTTAAGGAAGAAAGTTGGGGATGCAAGTCACGATCAGCTGTTCAAGTTTGTTGACAAAATTCTTAATGTAAAAAAGGCTCCAGTCTTGCCCAAACACGACTCAAACAAAGAACTTGATGAGAGATTTCGCGAACACTTTAAGATGAAAATCGCCAGCGTTCGACGTGAATTATCTGCTAGTTCGTTATCAACATCAGCAATTGAAGATCATGAAACTCGTCCCGCGCCTCCACTGTCGTACTTCCAGCCTGTGTCGTCGAGCGTGATAAAATGCTTTATCATGTCATCGAAAACGAAATCTTGTCAACTCGATCCTGTTCCAACCTGGATTAGATAAGGCTGCATCAATCAACTGCTACCAACTATAACGGAAATTATCAACTCATCCTTAGAACAAGGACTTTTTCCATCAAAATTAAAAGAATCTATTGTTTATCTGCTTTTAAAGAAACCAGCTCTGGACCCGGAAGACGACAACAACTTCCGCCCAATCTCCAACTTGTCATTTCTTTCAAAAACGCTGGAAAGAATTGCTGTCGTTCAATTAGACAATCGCCAAACCGATCATCAACTTTATGCTAAGATGCAATCAGCATACCGAAGATATCACAGCACTGAGTCAGCACTACTTAAAGTGTTTAATGATATCAATACTGCCATTGATAATCAACATGAATGCGTCCTAGTCCTTTTGGACTTATCAGCGGCTTTCGATACCATTGACCACAAAATATTAATCAACCGATTGGAGAATAAATATGGGATTTCTGGCCTTGCTCTTGAATGGCCAAAGTCATATCTTCAGAATCGACCTCAACGTGTTGTAGTTAAGGGTACTTACTCCGATCCAAAATGTAACTCTTTCGACGTTCCTCGAGGTTCTGTACTTGGGCCCTTCTTGTTTTCATTGTATTATGGTCCTCTCGAAGATGTTATAAGAGCTCATGGCATAGATGCGATTATGTACGCTGATGATTCTCAGCTCTATATTATAATAAAGTGGAGCAATCGTCGTGTTGCATTAGAACAGCTTGAACTTTGCATTGATGATGTTCTGTGTTGGAACAGGCAGAACGGTCTTAAATGCAACCCAACCAAGACTGAAGTCATCCACTTCTATTCTCGCTTCACGCCCAGTGACAGCATCTCATACCTCGGAGTCGGCACTGCTATTATCGAACCAGTAAATGAACTGAGAGATCTCGGCATCACTCTTGACTCTACCCTTACTCTTCGTACCCACATCAACAATATATGTCGCTCCGGCTCCTTATCTTTACATGAACTTAGTAAAATCAGGAAATTTTTATCTCAGCAAGACACCGAAAGGGTCGTTCATGCCTTTATTTCCTCTTAACTGGATTACTGCAATGGCCTGTTTTACGGCTTGCCCTCTTCTGAAAAACAGAAACTTCAAAGACGACAAAACTCTGCCACCCGACTTATTACACAAGCAAAAAAATCTGAACATATTACTCCAGTCCTCACAATCTGCACTGGCTCCCTATGGAACATCGTGTTATTTTCAAGCTGCTTCTCTACACCTATAAGGCACTTCATGGTTTGGCTCCTGATTACTTGGCAAATCTGTTAACTCGCTATACAACTGTCCGCTCTCTCCGTTCCTCAAGGTCCATCAATCTGTCTGTCCCAAGATCTAGAACCTCTACCTATCGTGACAGATCCTTTACGTGAGCATCCCCCATGCTTTGGAACAAATTTACTGATTTTATAAGATGATATTCCGAAACCTTAGATTCCTTTAAAGCCAGGCTCAAGACTCACCTTTTTAAAATCGCTTTTAAAACAACGAACTTAGAGACTTAGAGGCTGAGCTTTTAGGAATTGTCTGCAAAGATGTGGAAATCGAACCCCAACTCCAAGACACGACAGGAGAGCAATTAAACAGTGGTTCCAACATGGCGCAAGATGCAAGGCTAGACATTCATGCTCGTGGTTTCTGGGAACACAATCGATCTGCATTTTTCGATATTCGAGTTTGTCACCCAAACGCTGAATCGTACAGAAACCTGAAACCGCAGCAGATTTACCGCATGCATGAGAATGAGAAGAAGCGTTCCTACTCAAGACGTGTTCTAGACATCGAACATGGTTCATTTACGCCTCGTGTTTACTTTGACTGGTGGAATGGACCAAGAATGTTTGAGATATCACAGTCGCCTTGCAGAACTCATTGCAGACAAGAAAGAAGAACACTATTCAGAGACAATTTCATGGATCAGGGCAAAGACTTCGTTTGCATTATTAAGATCCGCCATAATCTGCCTAAGAGGATCCAGAACAATTAGAAGGCCCAAATTGGATTTTACTAATGTAGACCTACATATTCAAAGTTCAGAGGCTGCCATTTGTTAGTTAGTTTCTTTTTTTTTAGATAATTTGTTAGTCGGCATTTTCGTGTATTTTTCGATTTTTAAGGATTTTATCTTAACTTGTTTGTAAATGTTTTTGATGATTAGAGTGAAGTATCGTTATCATAGTGTGTATCCTCTAGTTTTTCTTACATTTTTATTAGACATTTTAACACATTTTTTTCGATTTTCAAGCATTTTATCATAATTTTTGTTATAATTTTTTGTGATTATGGTGAATAAAGGATTATTTAAAATTAAAATTATTATCATTATTATTACGTTGTGGGTGTTCCATATGAACAAGGGTTTAATTTAGTGCTTTCGACCGGTACGTGCGGGCAACGAGTCGACTTTTTCTCGCTACTCCTCCATGCCAAGGATCATTGCCGCTCACAGCTATTCTATCGTAAAGAACGCCTTCTAACTTTTACATAACGCAACTAGTCACCCGGGCATGAGGGACCGCTGGAAAATTTCAGCCTAGTAAAATATATTTTTTTAAGGATGTGGAAACGTTTTTTTTCATACCCGCGATTCACAATAAAATTATAAAGTAAAGGAATTCATCCTCTGCACTTTTGGAAATTGTCGTTCAATTAGTATTTCTTTCTTTCATCCCCCAATTTCTACAGATGATTCTACTGTTTTGAAGGTTATAAATCAAAGAAAATGAATTGGACTTTCACCTTGGGTGAAGGTGGTTTCCTTAAGCTCAAGAAGGACTCTCTTGGCTGCCGCCTGCACAGACTGGTTGGACCTTTTGCTCAAGCGAGTTAGCTCTTCTATAGCAGCTGGAGTTTCCTTTATCTTTGCTTTCCCTTTCGATGTCTTCGCGATAATCCATAGGGTATTAGCTGCACACTCTTTTTCAGTATCCCCACCTTTCTCGAGGAGCAATATCATTAATGGAACAACATCTCTCTCTAGCATAACCTCCATGTTCTTTTCATTCACCACCAGGTTACCCAAACCATCTGCGATTTCTTGAGCAGACCACGCGCTCCCACCCGATCTTCCTCGTAAGTCGGACTGATTCAGTGCATTTCGTAGTAAACCGATCAGATAACTTATTACCTAATGAAAAACAAGACGAAACTCGTAAAGATCATAGCAAAATATCAGTTCAATAACATTTTCCTCCTTTCTCATCTGAAGTTAAACCTTAACAGTTTTCAATTTTTCGGCCACTCTAATTAAGTGCGGTAACTCTTTTCCATTTTCTCTTTTCCCTCCTTAGTTTATTATTGTTTCTTTGCTATTCTAGACAAACCCGTTTCTGTAATTTAAACTTAATGTGCCTGCGCTTTAAGAGAAGTTCTGAAGGGGGTCGAGCGTTTGCTGTGCGAGCCACGAAAGAATGGAACAAATTAAGTGTGGACATCAAACGGAGTACCAGTGTAAAACGTTTTAAGCGTTCCCTTTTTAAAATAATTTTAGATAATCAAATTCTTAGCAAATTATTCCTGTAATTTTTTTTTATATTTTTAAATATTTTATGATGTATATAGGTTAATTATTTTATTTTAATTATTCCTAATATTGTTACCTTTGTTACAATTCCTTTTTTTTTTTTTTTATTCTTTTTTTTTTTTCCAAATTTTAATTTTCGAGGGCCATTAGTTTATCAGTTTCATTACTGTCACATGTTACCCTCGTTAAATAAAGTCTTACCTACCTACCTACCTACCATTCTTATTAAAAAAATTAACTATAAGAGAATAATCTAATGGGTTTAGTGCACATCTACTAAGTCGCTCAAAAATTAACAAGACAGGCTCGTGTTTTATTTCATCTTGCTTAAAACCGCACATCATAAAGAAAACCACTTTCCTCACTACCTATCGCGGCAAATTAGACAGCGAGGGGCGAAGCTAATCAGACTGTAGTATTTTTGCCCTAACGTTCTACGGTTTAAACTGAAACTACGTGGACTCTTTAACACTGGAAGTGATTCTGCACTTCACAAAAGCTGATCCAAAGTATTGTAATGTATTTCCTTGGGTTGAATAAATGAAGAAAATTACAGTTATACCAAGTGTTTACAACCGAACAACACATACACTAGTAACGAAAAAAAAATCATGTGAAAAATCTGGTTTCCCACGAGATAGAACCACTCTTTTGCATTGTAACTTGGTTTTAAGGGTTGAGTTGATGATAAGCAGTTATTGATCAAGTTGAGCATGATATCATGCACTTGTAATGCCGCGGTCTGAGATCTCCGCCAAAGCCGTAGGCTGAGGCAGATAACACAGATACGAGCTTCGATAGTTTACAATATCATGCGAAACCTGAATTTAATAATTGCTTTTTAAATAATATACAAAAGAAGACACTTCCCTCTAAGGTTTGAAAACGGTTTGAAAACACCGGTACCAAACAGACGAGGGGCTTAGAAACTACGCATAGTTTAAACTCGAAATGATAACCCAACATCTGCTGCAGATGTTGGGTTATCATTTGAACTTCACATTTCCCACAGACGTAGCACCACAGTTTCTTCAGAAACGTACCCCTTTTACCCCTTTGTTCAGGCTTATACAGAAGCATTCAAGGATTTCCATGAACCTCTTAATTTCATTTTTTAGTGGCTACTCCATCAGTTGATAATAACTGAACCGATCCCAACATTCAGAATCTAAGAGTGGCCGTTAACGAAGCTTATAACTAATGATACTCACTCTGCTCTCTGCTTCCAAACGTTTTTTCTGGTCATCGGAGGATATGTATGCAAGCGTCAATGTGGCCGTCACAACAGTTTCCATATCATCTGCCTTTAGGAATGGTGAAATCCTCTCAATCGCTCTCAGATCAAGCAGGATCTGACGATTTTCTGCAGCTTTAGAGCAGTTGTTCAGAATATTCATCGCAGAAGAAACCAGGAATTTCTTTTTCTGTGTTTTAAAAATTGAATGCAAGGTAAACAATAATGAACTTATCATTCATCGCAAGCCACACCCAGAATACTCTATTGCACACGTGAAAACAAATTAGTTTGAAAATAAGCACTAATTTAAGTAGCGTGTGAAAAAAGAATACGACAGTCTTCCAATTCCTTTTAAAGTTTGTGGATTTTAGCATCATGCACAAATAGCATCTTCATTAAGGCAATATCAATGTCAGATGAAGGACATAGATACCGACGGCCATTCCTCTTGTCACCGGGTGTACCGTGACACGGCAACTCCGACTTCTCACATCAGTGTTTTAGACTTGAACAACTGTCTTTCTCAGCGATACGCAAGGAATCTTGCAGATCACCAGGAATGGTGAAGACTAGTTAAAGTTAATCTTGCTGAGTAAGTCAAGGAATAGTTCAACCGGGTTTTACCTCATTTTTGGAACTGTTGGGGCCAAAGGTGTCCAAATCATTTAACATAATCTTTAGTGACCCACTTCGTCCCAAACCTCTCGCCATTTTTAAGCTGGCGTCCGCGTAATTCCAAAATACTTTACGAATCACGCACATGCCGAGCCACCCTGCTTGAGTCTCCATCCCCATGTCCATCACCCGGCGAAGAAGCCTGGTCAGGTATTCAGGAGCACTGATATCTGACAAATGGTCACCATACTTCAGGCGAAGCTGCCTGTCGTCTGTTTCGCAATAAGGCTCTAGAATATCTTTCGCCACTTTTCTGACTACAAACAAAATATCGTTAAACTTTTCATCTTTTACGGTGTTGATGATGTTGTGCATGCGCACCATAACGGAGACAGAGTCCACCTCATCCTGGTTACTGCTTTGAGTTTCCGCTGTACCACCTATTGGGAAAAAACACAATTTGAGAGCGGAAAAAAATCTGCATCAGACAAAGACTTACAAGGAGTAATAGACCACTAAGCAATCAACAGATGAAAGGCAGTTACACAAGGGTTGGACAGATATCTACTATAGAGGCATGCGAGAAACTGGATTCGCGAACAATGGGTAGAAATTCAGCCATTTAAGGAATTCAGAAAAATTCAAATTAATTTTACTCGTACTGACTAAACTCTGAAATCTCGAGTTTAGCCAATAGCTAATAGCTGGTTTAATAGTGATTGACAGTCTTGCAAGGGAAAAAAAGGAAGAGGAAAATACTAACCAGTTATGGTTACTTCTTCAGCTTGACCGAATACATCCACAACGCCATAAAGAACAGGCGGAAGGGTTTTGACCTGCTTGCCAACATTTACTCCGTTTATGAAAAAATGCAATGAATTGTCTGACTTGCGCATCACTCCCACTCGACCTCCAACCTGTTCAGGTAAAGAGTCTCCCATTTCAATTCAAGTATTTTTTGTATGTTCGCTTAAGAAAACTTCAGTTGAGGGCGAAAGTACCTCCTTTCTACTGGTTTTTAGCTGATTCTTTGAACAGTCATTTCCCGCTCTGAGAATATTTGCTGTATACTCTGCCCGAAAAAAATATTACAAAGATTCTTGGTTAAAAATGGCAGAACCAATAGGAATATCAAGTGATTAAGCCAAGACGATGACTCAGTAGCGCAAAGAGTTGCCGAAATGACACGCAAATGTTTCAAGCCTTCCCCTCCTCCCCCCCTTCACGATGAAAACGTCTGTCTTATGGAGGAATCTACAATCATTAGACTCAAAAGATGTCTCAATGCAGTCGCAAAGTGAAAACATAACACTGTATTGTGGATAGGGTGGCGGAGGTGAGTGGCAACACTACAACGAAGAAAATAAAACTGCAAGTTTCCAGGCTATGGAGGCTGATTATAGTAACATACCGTCAAATCATTCAAGTCCTTGGATATCTTTGTCATTTCTTTTCCGTTATGTAGTATTTTATCTCCACAGAGTGCAAACGTCACGCCTTGTCGAAAGCGGTCCATTGACGGAGGAAATTCCAGGCCTTCAGGGGAGACTGTCGTGGCTCCAATGTCTAGAGTGCCAAACCACTTTGGCACTTTACTGTCCAAGCGTACTTCAAACAGTTCATCATCTTTTAAAGGTTGTACAGTCATCACAACTCCATGGTTGAAAATCTGTAGGGCACTGTAAATATTTACCGCTGACATTATTGGGAAATATTACATTCGAGTGGGAAAAGTTCAATGCAGTGAGTTCTTTTCTTATTAAAGGAACGAAAATATTTTCTTACTCGATCCTCTTGGCTTTCTTTCCCCCGTGCATCATAGTAATGTTATCTCCACAGTTGTGAGAAAACTTGTATGACTCCGAGGAATTCGCTGAGTCGTTAGAGAAACTTGGAGCTTGGGTTGGAGAGGTAGTCCTTGGAGACTGAAGAGGAGACTTGCGACCAGGTGATTGCGGTGAGGGCTTGACTGCAGGGGAAGTAGATGGGCGCGAAGCTTTCTCTTTTGACGCTTCTAACTTGGCAATAAAGGCGTCTTCAACGAAATCACAAGATGCTTTTGTTAATGCCACGATGAAAACATTAAATAAACGACGAAGTTTAGTCTTCTTTTCAAATATATGGTTAATTTTAGCTTCGCCACCGAGACGATAGACAAACTAAATTGAACTGAAACGTTTTTTTTCCCTGATCTCGGGCTGCATCACTTTCGCAAGTAAAGGCAAGAAAGAAATGGGGCGACATCTGGGAAACCAAGCCACCCAAGTCAATCAAACTCATCTGAAGATGAAACTTCACGAAACTAAACTAAATGTAGTAGAATGGTAATAGCAGAACTCGTATCGTGCATCACAAAAGTAGGTACGAGCAACTCTACTCCGAAATATTGGAAGTAAACTCGTGATGATTGATCCCTTTTAGCTATCAAATATCTCTTAAAGAAAGGAAAGAAATAATGTGTTACTTGGATTGGACAATCAATTATCGCTTAAATTATGGCAGACTTCAATCATGAAACAATACTTACCTCCCCTTCCCATATACCTCATTTTGATGTCACAGTTTCCATAAACCGCACTTGCGCATGGGCACAAAGGCTTCAGTGGATGGCGAGGTAAATTACGAAACGCCACCCCGAGATATGCGTTCTCTGTTGCAAAACTGAGTAGAAACCAAGTTTCAATCATTTAGTACAGAATTCAAAACGACCAAGAAGTCATAAGAAGTTAAATAAGAAAAACAAAGCTAGAAATTAAAGCAGAGATTTTCAAAATCAAACTTACACGATAAATCTATCCTAACAGTGTCGGTCAATTACAACTTAAAGATCTCGCTTTTCGCGCAGGAGATTCAAAAACCACAAGGACTGGACAAGGATACCCACCAGAGCATATACCTAAGGTCAGATAAATTTTTGTATGCCACTAAAAGTCGCTGTCTGGACAAAAGTTTAGATCATGTATTTAGAGTCCATACGTATTAAACCGAAAGGAACAAAACATAGGATGATCCAATCAATCAATCAATCATATCGTTTACTGAAACACGATGAGGTTTAAAGCTGGGGCTTGTAGGGTCGTGTGAATATGATTACAATAACAATAAGAATAGTGTCCCTCAAAATCACTCCACAAAATATACAGTAAGAATAATAAAAATGATTTACATCATTTATCTCTAAGTAAATTGACTACAGCGTTTAAAACATAAAAATAGTTAAAAACATTTAAAATCTTGGTAGTACCTGGGTAGTGACTGGACTGACTGTGCGCTAAAATCGAGATCCTTAAAATAAGAGTCCTTCTTCACTTTGCGATAAAAAACTGAAAACTGGTCCGTGAAATGTTTCGAGACAGCGTTCCAGAGTACAGCCCCTCTATAGCTAATGGAGTTTTTAAGAAACTGCGAGTTAAAACGCGGGACAATTGTATTATTACTCCTTCGAAAATTGTATGTGGTGCATGGTTTGTTTGTTAAGTATAACAGAGCCGTAAGTGCTTCACCTATAAACACGCTATGTAGTAATATAAATCGTATATAAAAAGTTATATAAATCGTATATCCAAAAGTGATATCAATCGTATGGACGTATATCTAGTGAACCTTACTCATTGTCAGCATAAACCTTAAGGATAGCGTTACAGTGGTTGTAGATTAGCCACTCGCCTCAGAGTAAGGTTGTCCATGTCCAGTATACAGTAAACTGTATCAGGAACGAAAAATCTCGGATTGTTCGCCGGATAAGCAGACTCCTGTCCGTCGTGGAAAGTCACCTTTTTGCTTAAATTCCATCCCCACGATTCTGAGTTGGATCCAATCAGTGGCTGGTAACTCAGACACTGAAGGGGTGCCTGGGGAAGAGCGATTCCGATAACCGCGTGGGAGCCTCGTTCGTCTCGTTCCCAGGTTATTTCCCAGACGTGTCGACCTTGTCTGTATCCTTTTTTCCCTATTTAGGTGAAATTTTTTTCAAGAGATATTTTATAAGAATTGAGGCAAATTTTTCAGAGCTTTTTTCAGGAAGCCTTTCTTCTATGTTTGTTTGCTCTTCAGTTTTGTTTCCTTTTGTTTC